GCGCTCCCTAGCGTGCGGCCCCGGCGGCTCGTGCCCGTCCCCGTGAGGGCAGGCTGCGGCCAGCCTGCCCTCTCCACGGCCCTCACGGGCTCTTCAGAGACGAGTTGAGCTCATGGTACTTCTCTGGAGGCCTCGAAACGCTGGGGTGCAGGATGCTGACGTCCAAAATGAAACGTTATTCCTTTGCCTCTCCTTAGCTGGAGCTAGGCAGCGGAGTGCTGTTTACAAGGGAATCCCAGAGCTATCAAGTAAAATAATAATAATAAAAAAAACAAACTCTTTATTATTTTCCAAAAATCAACCAACAAAAAAAATCAAGCAACCAACCAAAAAGAAAATCTCTCACAAAGAAACAACGTGTTCCCAAGCACAAGGAAAACGGGCAAACCCCACGTTCGTTAGCCTTGCCGCCGTGCCTCACGGAGGCGGTGCCGCGTGCTGCTGGCCCTCGCTCTACCACGCGCACCCGTGCCCAGGGTTTGCGTTTGTGTGCCTGTGGTTTGTTGCATGTAACCTGTGGCTGGATCAGCAGTCCTTTTGGCACAGTCTGGCCATGCCTTGGTGTCCCAGGGAGCCCTGGGCAGGTGGCAGGGCCATGGACCAGTGGCATTCAGCTTGGGACCAAGAGAGCCGTGGAGAGCCACGTGATGTCTCTGTGCCTTGGCCTCAGGGTTTGTTGCTCGGTTTCTCTGTAGAAATGGCCTTTTCTTTTTTCCCTTGGGCTTCTTTTGGCCGAGTGAGAGACATGCTGATGGGGCCAGCTGCACTTCTGTCTTCTCTCTCCCTTGCCTTAGGTTCAAGGGGAGCAAACGTGGAAGAGGGTTTGCATCAAATGAACTGTTCCGTTGGGCAGATCATTAGCCTAACGCAAGCCCTCAGTGCCAGAGCTGGAGATGGGGAAGCCCCTGCTATCTCAGCCTGGGGACTCCCAGTCTGTGCAGTGCTGGTTTGTTTGTGCCTTCTCTGTCACAGCTACTGCCAGGCCTGCAATGTTTGCTCTCCTCCTCCTCCTCCTGACAGCCAAGGTGGATGGTTCCGCTGTGAGAGGAGGCAGTACGTTCAGGTCCCGCTCAGCGTCAGAGAAAGTCCCCTTGGCAAGGAAGACATGTTAGTCATTGGCATCCGAGGTGTGTTCTCCATGTTCTGGCAGTGGCCGGAGCGTTTGCCCTCCGTTAGCAGCAGGAACGCCACGGAGGGCAGTGGGGGGCAAAGATCCAGGCCAAATTACAACCCAACTGTGCGGGGGGGAGATGCTGTAAGCCAGGAGGCGAGCCTCCCCTCAGCAGCACGTGCTAGCCCCCTGCGCAATGTTCTGTGTGGAGATGCACTTCCCTTCTCACCTAGAGAACAAGTCGCTGTTAAAACATCACCTCCTCGCAGCTCCCATAGTCACTCTCCACCATATCGGAGCCCTCGTAGTTGGGGGGTGGGAACGGCTGAGCTCGAATGCTGGGCGGGTGGCCCACCTCGCAATCTGCGTAGGAGGGCTGGGCCACACTCAGGCGCATGCTCACCCGCTTGTACCCCGGGTCAGGCTGGTAAGGGACACCTTCGCCCTGCACCAGCTGGGCTGGGTAGTAGCTGATGGCAGTGTATTCATTCTGGCACTGAGAGGCTCCGACATCCACAGGGCCAAGCGGCAAGAAGTCCTCCAAGTTCTGGTTGCTATAGCGGGGTGGGATGGGGGCCCGCTTATTGCTCTGGTCCAGCGGGAAGGGAAAGCCCCCATAAAGAGCGACCGGTTCCGTGTCCGCTGGTGGAGGGGGCGGTGGGGGGAGAGGAGGGTGGGAGGAGGACGTGGGGGGGCCTTGAATGATTTCATAGTGGGAATATTCCTGGACGTCTGATGACAGGTACCGGGGTGGCCAATAGGTTGTTTCTGCTGGGTAGACTGGAATAAAACAGAGTCACATTAACAGCTGTTCCTGCTCCAAACTGTCATTTTTCCCTCTCTTGTCCTCCCTCTCATTCCCTCCATATGAGTCTGACCTTGCAGAACACGTGGTAGGAAGGGAAGAGAGGAGGGGTGGGGAAAGGGGAGGATGAGGGGAGCATTGGCTCTTGCAGGTGCTGATCTCTGCTGCTTTGGAAAATGAGGGGATGTGGCCCTGCTCTGGCCTGTGCAAGTCTAGGAATGGTAGCACTCCTGCCTATGGCACTCCTCCTATGGCAGGCAATATGTAAAAGCCTGGATGATGAAGCTATGGGGGCAGAGCAGGTGATCCACTGGGTCTCTCCCCTTCTGAACTCTCTTCTAATCGCTGTCTTTGCTGCTGAGCTTCCAGCGAGCTCTTGGATGGGGAGAGAGGAACCAACCCTGAGTATGGGTATTTGATGCAAATGTGTCCTCTAAAAATCACACTAGCTTCTAGGATCTCAATTTCTTCCCCTTAGCTCCACTATTATCTTTTACAGGGTATTTTGCCCCTGGCTGTGCGGGAATGCAGGCTGTGCATTAGTGGTTTTCTCTTTCCCCTATAGATTGTGTAGGGGAGTGAGCCAGTTAAGGGTCAAAATTGGGATGTACTGGTGAGCAGGGAGGGAAGAGCTAACAAAGGGACCCTAGCAGGCCTTGGGCAGCGTTTGTCCATGTTTCACTTGGCTTTAACCTATGCTGTTGGTCTCTTACGTTTGTAAACTCTAGATCCACTTCAGGGGGGAAAGGGAACCTGTAAGCACAAGAAAAAGATGTGGCTACGAACCCATCTCCTCCCTGGCCCAGGTGCACTTGATGAAGGACTCGTTGTCGGAGTTGGAGGGGGGAGCAGCAGGGGGCAAGTTGGGTGCCACGCTGCACACGATGGTGCCCCGGTGCTTTGGGGCATTGGCTGAGTTGAAGGTGACAAACTCGGGAGTGCTGGTGCGTTTGCATTGCTCTGGCGAGGCCCGGTCCAGATCGTTGTGTGCTGTGTCACTGAGGATGTTGAGCTCAATGGGTGGAACAGCCTGGGTGCCCACACCCACGCTCTTGGAGAACTCGCTCTTGGAGAGTAGGTCTGGGTCCTCCCGGGCCACAGGCTTGTGCGCCTTGGCCCGCTGGCAGTAGCGCTTGCGGATGAATACAAAAGCCACAGCAAGGATGACCACCCCCAACACACCGGCCACACCCTCCGCGATCTCCTCTGGGCTGACAGCCCACTGTGTAGGCACAATGGCGGGGGTGATGATGGGCTGTGTACAGTAGTCCCCCTGGTAATCCGCTGGACAGATGCAATGGACAGAGCCCTGGGCACTCACGCAGCGCCCTGCATTTCGGCATGGGTTGTCTTGGCACTCCTCGGCTAGCTTCTCACACCTATGGGGGGAGACCAGCAAGGAGACAATCATTGTCAGCCTGGGAACAGGGGAAGGAGGTTCTGCCTAGCTGAGCAGGGTGCAAAACCCACATGATCCTATTCAGGGCTCTGATTTACACCTGGCCAGGGATGCTCAGTCCTGGCCTGTGCTCCTTCCGTTCCTGCTAGGCTCCATGCTACCTGGC